TCCTCATCCAACTCGCCCACATCAATGCTCAAGCTCAATCTTCATACCCACCATCCTTCCGCCCGCCACGCCATCCACGTCATGACCCCCTCATCCCCCCCTACCATACTCATTACCACCGATCACCACAAACGACCACCCCCACCCCCTACTCCACCACCATCACTTTTATTGCAGCCACAACTACTACCCCCTTGCCTTGGCCATCCTCACCACCATCCCATCGCGCACTCCGCTTCCTCTTCCTCCTCATCCTCCTCCTCTCCCCGCTCCATCTCACCCGCATCGTCATCCCCGACTCCGACACCGGCATCTGTCAACCATCACAAGTCATACTGCCCAATCTCCCACCAACAGCAATCTCAAGCCACCCCACTCCAACCCAGCTCCCTCTGTTGTCCTTGCCTCGACGGCCACCAGCCGCCAGCCGCCGCCCGCTCGCCCGATCAGCCCCACCTTCATCACCACCTAGCTCCCACCCACCACTAACTATGCAACCCGCGACCACACTTCCGGCCATCACTCGCCCCAAACTAGCTTCAGTACGAGTATCGCTGTCATCGATATCCATTTGCCTCGGCTCATTTCCGCGTCGACTTGTTTTGCCTAGGCGGTTGAGCACGTCCTCGACCTCCCGACCCCGCACATGCCCCCCACCACACTCATTGCAAGATATGGCCAATCTGATTTCACTACTGCCCTACTACACGCCCACACTACCCCTTGCACAATCTCCAATCCACAGCTGTAGTATTCCGGAATCCGAGTTTCGCCGGCTCAGGCCCAAGTTGTTGACCCTGTGTCCCTTCGAAGGTGCTCACCCCCCTGCCGCGTCCCCATCTCCGACCCCCACTCCCCACCATCTCCACCCACAACCACCACACCCACGCCACACGTACTCACTATGCATGCAAACATAGCCACCCACTTCCTGCCCGCCGATACGCACATCAGCCGACGCCAACCCGTCAACAGCATCGCTGCCGGCCGCCTGCTGCTCGCCGCCGACCGCCGCCCGCCGCCGACCGACCACTGCCGGCACCACCGAGAGCAAGCTAGCCATCGACAGGGCATTGGAGACAATGCATGCGGATAGCCACATCAATGGCAATGACTATCAGTCTGCCCTCCAACCCAGTCCTCCCCTCCCTCCTCCGGCCTTGCCTATCACAGCCCCCGCCGGCCTGCTCATCGCCCGCCGCCCCTGCTGCCGATCACCGAGCCAGACGACGAAGCCCGGACTGGCCAGGACGAGGAACAACAAGGGAGGGCAAGGGCAAGCGATAGCCAATGCAGTGATGGGCTAGAGTGCAGTGGTCTGCCCTCTCTTCCAATCCCAAGCCATCGTCTCCATCGACGTCCATCTCAATCCAATCCGTCCGCCCTCCTCGCCCTCGCCGCCCAAGCCCCTCCACCCTCATCTTCCACACCCCACACACACCCATCAGCCGTATCATACTCACCTTCATCAAACTGGCCGAGAACAAGCCACTCCTCCTCTCACTCTCCTCCTCAACCACATCCTCATCCCCGCCTCCCCTCAACCCCTGCACCCACTCCCATCGGCCTACCCATGCCTCAATCCCGATGACTACGGGGGCACGACCCGATTCTACAACGCGCACGAGTCGCACTGGAGTGAGAGTGATGCACACCGCTCTGCCCACACTTGACGCCAACCCACACGCCCCGCACAGAAGCACGCTTGTGCATGCCCAACCCAGTAGCAGGTGACTTTGTGCTCGTCTCCCCGGTCCGGGCTGCTCTGCACAACTCGCCCGCGTTGACCATGCTCTCTCGGCCTTGCAACACGGCGACTCGTCCTCGCCTTCCATCGGCATCACGTGGCTTGTCCCCATCGCGGAAGCCGTTGAGGGCGGCCTTGTGGACCACGCAGAGTATCTGCGGTTCACAGAGCGTGCCCGGGCTGGTGTCTTTGAGCTCTCGTGCTATGTACTCACCGACATGACTGACGTCGTCGTGTCGCATCAGATCACTCGCATTGTCTCGGTCCCTCCGGTTCCGCGGGTCATCATCCACGAGGCCGGTGGCAGTGACAAGATCGTCGACCGTCTTGCAAAGGACGACTACGTGTTGGCTGGCCACTGTTCGGTCGTCTCGCGCTCGTTCCGCCTGCTCTCTGACGACGAGATCAAGTCGGCCCGGCAATCGTCACGCCGAGCCACGTCCGCCGCGCGCCTCGCCGCCACCACCGCGCCCGTAGACTTTTCGCCCACCAAGCAATCGTCACTTCATTCGTACATCTCGCCCAATCCGTCTCGGGCGCCACAGCAGGGCCTCAAGTCGCAGACCTCGCCAGCGATCTCGTCGCCGCCGGTCTACTCGAAACTGTTCCAGACCTCCTATGCAAGCCAGCCAGCCACGTCCCGCAAGCGTCAGCTCGACTTACAGCCGCCTCGTGCACAGCAGCCCAAGTTTGCCCGCCTTCTCGATCAGCCTCCCGCCGGGAAGCGTGGCAAGCACATGGTCGACGCCGCCAAGACCAAGCGCAAGCCGCGCAAGCGCTACGACCATCGCCGCAGCAATGCGCTTGTGCAGATCGCGCAGACTGGCAGCAAGCCGAACCGCAACCGCTACTCCAGTCTTCGTTGATCCTTGCCGTCGCCGGCTACGGCATGAGCAGCTTGCGCCGCTTGGGATTCGCAGCCTCGCTCTCAGCCCCGTCGTCGCTGACGGCCGCCGCCCCTCGCCCTCGCCCGCATTCTCGCCCGCAGTAGACTTGGATAGAGGCTGCGGGTGGTGTGGAAAGTAGATCTTGCGTCGGATAACACCCACAATTTCAAACGATGTCTCGGTCGCCAGCGTGCCCGTCCGCACACGCTTCATCGCCGCCAGCGGGTGCTTGAGCGTCACCACCGAGCCCTCCAGGAGATGGCTCCCGATGATCAGCGTAGCCGAGTTCTACCACACACCGTGCCGCCCAATCTCATGCATAAGTACTGCCTATCTCTCCTCTCCCTCTCCCTCTCTCCACACGCTGCCCTTGCCACCTACGTCGTCGTTGACGGTAAGCTTGCCGAGCCTCCGCGCCGAGTACTCGGTCACCCCGTCCAAAACGCCCTGCAACTCGACCATGGTCCACTCTAGCGTCCCCGAGCCACCCGGCACACACACAGTCCACCGCATAGGCTCAAGCTTCTGGTGCGACGTGTGGTGTGAGCTCTGTGAATCGTGACCCCGCCGCCGTCGTCTCGGGTAGAATCTTCACACTCGGTTGAGTCGGTGCCTGCTGCCGAGTCGGCCAGCTCAAACGCACCGTGACCTTACTTGGACCCTGGACGTCCACGCCTGTCTCTGCACCGAGCCATGTCAACTCCGAGCGCAGCTGCCCTCACTTCGTCGCAGCTTGATGCCCTTCTAGAGTCCGCCAACTTTCTTGCTGCTGGAGGGGAGACCTCGCTCTCCGCGCCCGAGCTTGTCGAGTACTACGGGCTACAGCAAGAGCCTGATCTGGTGTGGGGCGTCGACTGGAGCAAGCAGGATCTCGATCCTGTCCTTGTTGCTGCCACAGAGGCGTCTGCGACTGGCCCTGCTGATCCTACAGAGTCCGCCACCACCCCTCTTCGGTGCACTGTGGCATCTGCGTCTCTCCGGGCCGACTCGATCAAGCTCGCCAACCTCCTGCCGCTCTCGCTCCGCCTTGTTGCTCCTGTCCCGGAAACTAATCGCGATCCCTCGGCTGCTGCCTCGCCTCAGGTGCCTGCGCCGGTGGCTACTGCGCTTGCATCAAAAGCACTGGCCCCCGCTGATGATCTCCGCCGTCGCATCAACGCGGCACGCATGCGCAAGCGCATGCAGCCCACTGCCCCGCCGCAGGCACCTCCATCCAAAAAGAGCAAGTCGCTGGCGAGCACATGATCGCCCTCTCATTCGTGTGTATTCGGCTCACTCGACATCCTCTTCTACGCCGCTGCCGTCGCCGTCGTCATCGTCGTCGTCGTCGTCGTCGTCCGTCTCCTCTCGGACGACAAACCACTCGCCACGCTGGATGTCGCGGAGCGCGACGAGGACGCCGACTGCCTCGCCGTCGTCATCCTCAGCCCACGCCACACCGCAGTTGCCATCCGGCGCATGCGGGAGCTCAGCCTCGGGCATGTCGCCTTCGGTGAAGAGCACAGTACCCTCCTCCACGTCGTCGGCGGCGTAAAGGCCGTCCTTGTTGGTCACAGGGCCGAGCTCGTCGTCGCTACCCTCGTCACCGCTGCTGCCTGGGCTGTGCTCCACAGCGTTGTCATCGAGAAACACATCGTGTGCCACAGAGAGCGACAGCTGGGTCCGCGGCAAATGAGTGCAATGCCACCACGAGACCGTGTCGACAACAAGCACGTCGCCCGCGCTACACGGGATGGTGTACACCACGCCGTCGCGCCGGATCCGCCACACCTTGATCCCTGCCAGCTGAATGTGCCATGTTGCATTGCAGTTGACCGAGTCAGTGTGCTCGCGCCGGCCCTGCAGCGGCTCATCATTGATGTTGCGGCCGGCAAAGACCCAGACGCATGGCGAGACATACATCGGCCGATCCGGGTCCGCCAGCGGGAGCACGGCCAACGGCAGCGCCGCGTCCACACCTGCCACCAGCGCACGCGCGCCCTGGGCCACGTACGACGCGTACCACTGCTCACCGTCGTCGCCATTGCGCGATGCCGCCGCCCGTAGCTCTGCCAGGTCCTTGGGCGTGCCCTTGGTCGTCGACTCCATCGTCCACGTCTCGCCGATCTTGTCCTCATAACCGACGCAAGCCTCCAGAACCCGACCAGCAGCCTGGATCTCGCCATCCGCGCTCAGAATCCCGGCTTCGACCGCTGCCCCGGGCAGAAAGGCCACGCCATGCTCTGCAAACACTCTCTCCCAGTTCGCCAGCGTCGTCCGGATGGGCAGCTCATCGAGGCCGCGACCACGGACAGCCCGCTCGGCCTCGCCACCACTTGCGCCGGCTTCGCCACCACCGTCATCCAGCCGCCGCTTCCGCCCGGTCCTCTCCCCGCCCTTGCGCAATGTCTCTACCTCCGCCATAGCCTCCTCTCGTCCACGTTCCGCCGCCCAAAGGTCGGGCCGAGTTGAGTCGTGCCGCGTCTGCAGGACGCCCGTCGCCGCAGTCAGTCGGCAACACTTGTCCGTCGCCTACACACACGCATTTATACCTCACACACGCGCGCCAGTCTCATGAGTAGCGACGGTTCCGCACAGCCGCTGTTGGACCTCGCTGGGTTTCCGAGCCCACACGGTGCTGGAGCAGAGCGAGGCGATGCGCCACTGCCGCTTAACCCGCCGACGCCTGGGAAGAAGGCGAAGAAGGGCAAGGGCAAGGGCGGAAAGGGCACGGGCAAGGGCGGAAAGGGGAAGGCTGGAAAGAGCAAGGTTGATGCTGAGACTCGGCTCGGCTCGGCTGCACCATCGCCCGGCGCGAACACCGACGACGCCGATGATGATGTTGATGGTGATGATGATGATGATGATGACAATGCGGAGAACAGCGCGGGGGCAATGGCGAGAAAGACGGCGGCAAAGGTGGCGGTGGCGGCGGAAAGAAGAAGAAGAAGATCAAGAAGCTGAAGCGGCAGGTTGAGATGCTCGAGGCGTCGGCGCTGGCGCTGGTGCTTGAGCTGGACAAGTCGGCGCAGCTGGAGGCGCTCGAGGAGGGCGTTAGGGTCAAGATGGAGGCGCTGCGGTTTGCTGTGACCGGTGACTCGAACCCGGTGGCTGGCCATGAGCTGCTCGGCGACGTTGCCAATGCGTCGGGTGGTGTCGGGACTGGCGCGTCGATCAACGGCGACGACGGCGGAAGCCTGCTGGAAGGTATGGCTCCCGAGTTGGATGCGCTCGCGCAGCTGGAGGCAGCCAAGCAAGCAGCCAAGGACCAGAAGAAGCGTGAGAAGATGATACAGAAAGAGGAGCTCAAGGTGCTGGCCCGGATGAAGGAGCCGCGTACGCTGCTGGCCAACGAGCGGACGTTTCTGTCATGGGCGGCGTCGTCGCTGCGCCTCGGCGCCATCGGCACCGCACTCATTACCTTCTTTGGCCACACCGCTTTCGCCATGTTCCTCGGCTGTGCGCTGTGGACCATTGCAGTTGTCTACCTCGCGTACTCGATCCGCCGTTACCGGCAGCGCGCGCAGGCGCTGCTCACCGCCTCGGACGGGCCTTTCCTGGACGTAGCGGGGCCTGTCTCGTTTGTGGGCATCATCATTGTTGCCATTGTGCTCTACATCTCGTTCTTTGTCATTGCGGGGCCGCAGCCCAAGGTTCACTTTCAGTCTGCCAAGAGCAGTTGATTGCGCTTGTTTGCGAGAAGCCGCGCGCCGAAAACAGCCTGCTCCCCCTCCGCAACCTGTCTGGCTCGTCCGATGAAGATGGTGCGACGTTGGGTACGCTCGTCAACACTGCCGACGAGAACTATGACCCCGCCCCGCCTCGTCGTTGCCGTCGCTGCTGCAGCCAGCAGCTGGCCCACAGTGAAACTGTCACGTACGCCCGCCCACATCTTCCTCCCGACCAACAGCACTATACAGTTGGTTGAGGCGGCTCTTCGTCATCGCCACACACACAACGAATGCCTGGCAGCCTCGAACTATTCTCCAAACAAGCAACTTTCACAGGCCATCGGGAGGGAGGGGGTACAGAAAACGCAGAGGGGAGCGAGACGCAGCGCAGAAAGTTGAAGATAATGGACAGCGCGAGCGCGCACTCGCCGTAAGGACATCGGCGACACAGGAGACAGGCCGCCCGCCGGCAACCGACAGAGGCCGGCGGAACGGAGAGCCAGAAACAGTGATGAACGTCACCGCTGCAGACGTAGGTGAACCTGAGGCTGAAGCTGTTGTTGTCACAATGGTGGCTGCTGTTGTTGTTGTTGTTGTTGTTGTTGTTGTTGTTGTTGTTGTTGTTGTAGCTAGTGTCGTCGTCACTGCCTTACATCATCGAGAACTGGGCGACCTTGGACTGGAACGCCTGCATGCACGCATCCAATGTGTTGGCAAACGACTCGCACTTGCGGGTGGCGGCATCAGGCGAGAGGCCCTCGTTGGCCTTCATGCACTCGGACATGGCCTCAAACTGCTGCGGGCAGGCGACCGACATCATGCACAGCGCCGACTGGATGGAGACCTCCTGGCACTGCTGCGGCATGGCCTCAAACTGCAACCACCGACACTCTCATTGTGAGCCATACAGACATACACACACCGAGCCGCATGCTCTTCCACTGCGTACCCGCTCTACCCCACTCATCCCCTCGCTGTCCTCTTGCTATCCGCCTCCCAGGGGCTCTCCAGCCCCTCTCGGCTGCCCCACTCCGTCGCCTGCCAACGCGTCACCATCCAAACGTCACAACGCCGTCACCCGCTGCCCCTTCCTACAGCCTACACCCTAGCCTAGACACCCACACTGGGCCCACCACAGTCTACATAGACACATGCACGTACGTTCTGGCCGTAGCGCTGCTGGCACTGGGCGGCAATCTGGCCAACAGAGCCGCACCGGCGGCCGATCTCGTCGACTTGGGCAGAGGTAGTGGGATCCATGTTGATTGGTTGTGAGCGTTGAAGTGGGGTGTCGCCCAATGCCAGCGTCAGCGGTAGAGCCGGAAGAGCCAGAGCCGCACACAGCCCCTGTGTGGCAGGGGGCAGGGTCAGGACCCGGTGCTTGATGAGTGGCCAGCATTGGCCAGTCCATGAACCAGCCCATGGCAAGGATGGCGAGCAGAGCTTTGCTCCGCAAGCATCGCCGCAGGCATCAGCAGCCGATGACAATCGCCGCAGCAATGAGCAACAGACAAGGCGGCCGTGACGAAACGTACATGACACTCGCGTGACGTGGGCGAGGCCGAGGTGCTCCGCCACTGCACCGCCGCCACCCCTCTCATGCCTCACCGCAAGCGCAAGGCCAGGCCAATGCTGCCCACCCCGCAGGTGGGGCTCAACGTCAACGACATCATGCCGCACGGCCGCACCCCGCCTTCGCCGCACATTACTCCGGTCGACCGCGACGACGCCGGCTCAGCTCCCGTGGCTCTCGCCTCTCGCATGCAGGCCCCGCCACACGCCCAGCCTGCAGCGAGTACCAATGGTACTGGAGACAGCGGCCGGCCAGCGACTGTCGCTCGTCCGGGAAGCCAGCAGCACCCGCCGCTGCCCGCAAGCCACCCGTCTGCCGTCCCGGACACCCCGCCGTCGACGAGCTCCACTCCGCTCGGCGTCGATGCAAAGACGGGTCCGAGCAACGGCAAGCAGAGTCATGCCTTCCCGACCTCGCTCGTCTCATCGACCGTCCACGACAAGGAGGACACGCCGTCAGCTGTCGCCATCGCCTCGCCCATGATCGCCAAGCCCTCGACCCGGTTCTCCATCTCGCCGTCGGCTACCCTCCCTACCTCGGTCATGCCGGCTGTGCCCTCCCTCCCTGCCGACAAGCACCAGCAGAACCAGAAGGGTCAGCAGAACCACGCCTCTCCGCACGCACCCGAGGCGGACTCGGCCAAACCCCCGCGATAGACACCCCGCCGGCCAAGACCGCCCGCCACCCGACCGACGATCCGGCTCTGGTTGCTACGCCGGAGCCCGCCTCGGCCGCCGCCGCCACCACCACCGCCGGCCCTGCGGCAACCGCTGCCGCACCTCCGACAAGCACGCAAGCCGCCACCCCGCCGTCACCCTCGCCTGGCGACGATGCCGAGCCCGACTCGGCTCCGGCATCGGCCATGTCGACGCCGCCCGGCTCGTCGGCCGGCACCTCACGCCCGTCGCATGCTCCCGGCCACAGCGGCCTCGGCGCATCGGCCGCCGCCGCCACCACCGCCGCCGCCGCCGCCGCCGCGAGCAGCAAGGCCGTCCGATTCAGCGTCGATGACGACTCGGACGATTCGGACGAGGAAGAGGCCGACTACTACAACCCGTTCAACAAGGAGCCGATTGTGCTCCCGCGCGTCGGCATGGGCCGCATGGAGCAGGTCCTCGACATGTCCATTGCTGAGCTGGCTTCATCGCCGCTGGTCTTCAACCGCGAGCTCTCCGAGCTTGACTTTTTCTGGCGCGTCCTCTATGAGGCCATGGACGAAAAGGCACCGCTCCTCGAGCGCATCAAGTTCCTCGCTATCACCTCGGGCAACATCGACGGATACGTCGGCAAGCGCGTCGGCAACTTGACCAAGGTCTACTCGGAGGAGCTGCAGATGGCTGCTGACATGGGCGAGGGCTACCGCCCGCAACTGGTCTCCGTCTACGAGACCATCCACTCCATGACCGACGAAATGGGCGAGGTCTTCTCGTCAGTCACCACCCAGCTCACCGCCCACGGCGTTCATGTCCTCCGCATGGCCGAGCTCACGCCTGAGGAGCTCGAGCCGCTCCGCGAGGTCTTCGTCTACGACGTCGAGCCACTGCTCACCCCATCGCCGTTGACGCCCGCCACCCGTTCCCGGCAAACGTTCGCAACATGACCGTCAACCTCGCCGCGCTCCTTATGCCCAAGGGCAAGGGCTCGCTCCGCTTCGTCTACCTTCCGGTCCCTCTTGACCTCGGTCGGTGGATCCAGATCTCGTCGCCGCGCGGCCGCTTCTGCTACGTCCGCTCCGAGGATCTCATCCGCCACTTCCTCCCCACCATGTACCCGCTGCACAAGATCGTCGCCGCGCACGTCTTCCGCGTCACCCGCGACTTTTCATCGACGACCTCTCGCCCGACCCCGAGGACGTTCTCGAGCTCATGTCGTCGGGCATCGACATGCGCCGCTACGCTCAGGTCGTCCGCCTCGAAGTCACCCACGACGTCCACCCGGACGTCATCGAAATGCTCTCCTTCCACCTCAACATCGAGCGCATCTCCATCTACTCGCTCAAGTTTGAGGAGCTCATCGGCCTCGCAGACATGATGTTCTTTGTCCGCCTCCCGCTCCCGGCCCTCAAGTACCGCCCGTGGCGGCCCATCCCGCACCCCTCGTTCCGCTCGCTCACACAGCTGACCAACGGCCGCCCGCGCCCACTCACCCCGGACATCGCCGCCTCGGTCTTTGATCTCGTCTCGGAGCAGGACATATACATCCAGTTCCCTTACGTCTCGTTCGAGTCAACCGTCCAAATCTTTGTCCAGTCGGCAGCCATCGACCCACAAGTCCTCTCCATCAAGATGACCCTCTACCGTCTCGCCTCGCAAGACGCCGTCGTCGACGCTCTCATCAACGCCGTCGCCAACGGCAAGGAAGTCACCGTCATCGTCGAGCTCAAGGCATCATACGACGAGGCCCGCAACCTCGCCTACGCCACCGCTCTCGAGCAAGCCGGCGCCACCGTCTGCTACGGCCTGCAGGGCATGAAGACCCACGGAAAGATCATTCGCGTCGTCCGCTCGCAGCCCGACGGCCTCCGCACCTACTCGCTCGTCGCCACAGGCAACTTTAACTCGACCACCGCTCCGCTCTACATCGACATGGGCCTCCTCACCGCCCACCCGGAAATCGGCCACGAGCTCGGCCAGGTCTTCAACTACCTCACTTCGTACTGCGGCCGCGGCAAGTTCAAGAAGCTCCTCGTCTCGCCCTTCAACACCACCGCCACCTTTGTCAAGCTCATCAAGAAGGAGACCCGCAACGCAGAGGCCGGCAAGAAGGCTCTCATCATCGCCCGCCTCAATGGCCTCACAGACAAAACCATCACCGCCGCCCTGTACGAGGCCGCCGCTGCCGGCGTCAAGATCGAGCTCCTGGTCCGCGGCATGGCCCGCATCCGCCCGGGCATTCCCGGCAAGACCGAGAACGTCCGCGTCATGTCATACGTCGGCCGCTTCCTCGAGCACTCGCGCATCTACTACTTTTACAACGACGGTAAGCCGCGCTACTACCTCGGCTCCGCCGACTGGATGACCCGCAACCTCAAGTTCCGCATCGAGGTCCTCACCCCAGTCTACGACAAGAACATCCAGGCCTGCATCATGTCCGAGCTCCAGCTCTACCTCTCGCCCGAGCGCGCCAACGTGTGGGACATGCAACCCGATGGCCGCTACCAGCGCCGCCAGCCGCCGCGAACAACCACAAACCGCATGGGCGTCTGGGGCATCATGATGGACTCGGTCGAGGTCCTCGACGCAGGCATCCAGACCTCGCATCTGCACAAGTTCCGCTCACAGCGCAAGTGGGACGCCACCCCGGTCGCTCCGTGATCTCCCTCCCGCCCTCCCGCGTCTCATAGCTCATCAAACAAGTAGTCGAGGCCCTGCCCCAGCTCCCACACCGCCACTCCCACCCCCGCCCGTGCCGCAAGCTCCAGCCGGACGTGCAGCGAGCCAAGACTCGGGTACCACACCTCGTGTTCGCGCCCTTGGCCGTCGACGTAACGGTAGACGTGCTCCGACGAGCCGCTGTCCCACTCGATCTCCCCCCGTGTGCCCGGAGCAGCTCGAGGTACTGCGAGCCTACTATCGGCCCGCCGCTTCCGTCGCCGGCAAAGTCGTTGCCGTAAAAGTTGAGCCCGAGAAAGACCTTGGATGCCAGCTGAGGCGCGTTCGGCGGCACAATGCCCTCGAGCGCACGCTCCATCCACGCCAGCGGCGCCGATGGCCCCGGTGAGCCCGGGTGTGAAAAGTCATACGTCATCACCGACACCCCCTCGAGGTGGCCAGCCAGCGCCGCCAGATCGCCGTAGTCGAACCGCTGCCGCCGCGCGCCGAACGCGGGGTGCGCTGGCGGCGCGACCATGATCACACGCGTCACGCCTGCGAGCTGCTCCACCAGCAACGTCATTCCGGCCTCATGGATCCGCATGCCAGGAAGGCCACCGGTCTCGAGTGTCAGTCCGTCGAGTCCGTACTCCTCCACCGCTGCAGCAAGAAGCGCGACGAGCTCGTCGATGCGGGCGCGGCTGCCCAGGAACCGAGCAAGCCCCTCGGCCCCGACGCCCTCAAGATTGACACGCGGGAGAACAAGGGCTCCGCGCGCGCGGACACGCTTCATCCACTCACGGTCAACCTCGTGCCGCCCACCAAGCTTGAGCTTGCCGCTCCCGTTGGCTCGCGAGAGATCGACCTGGAACCACACTGGGACGAGATGGCTGAACTTGGCAGCAAAGACCTTGGCCAGCTTGTACCCGCGCGAGTTCCACGGCGTCACATACCCGAGGCACCGCCCCGCGAACCGCTTCGTCTTGATTGCCTTGGAAAACTCGCGATGGTGTTCCACAACCTCCTCGCTCGTCACACTGCTGCCCACCACCACCAGCCCCCGCTCCGCCACCGAGCCCTCCGGCCGGGTCCGCCGCCGTCCACCCACACCTGCTGCCGCTACCCTCGCCCCCAGCGCAACCAGCACCACAGCAACAACCACAGCCAGCAATCCCAATGATGCACCTCTGGCCCCACCGCACTTGATCATAATCGCGCTCTTCCAAGCCAAGCCGAGACAAATGCCGTGTGTCGCTCGCGCTCGCTCTCGCTCTCGCCCTTACTCTCGTGCTCGCTCTCACACCGCGCCAGTCGCTAAGTGCCCGCCCTCACGCCATCCCCCTGCCTCATACTACTCACAACGATGGCCCCTCTTTCATTGAGTTCAGTCCATCACCCATCCATCTCCATTCCATCACGCTGCATCGACAGCAGCCGAGCCATGCTTCGCCAGGCTCGGCTTCGGTGACGCGGCTTAACCCCGCCTCACCCCGCCTCACCCCGCCCCAACACATCTACTTGCACGCAGCCTCGCCTTCACCCTCGTCAATCGACGCCACCACCAGCAGCAGCAGCATCGCCGGCGTCGGCGTCGGCGTCAGCCATGCGGATGGCGCGGATGTCGCGGATGGCGAGCTCGAACGGGCCGTCGACGCCATCGGCGAGCGTAAAGCCGAGCGATGTGATCCGCCGCGAGTCGAGCTTCAGCTGCTCAACCTGGACAAAGCCGCGCCAGGTCATGATGAGCGCGTCAAAGGGGATGCGGACGACGGCCCAGTCAGCAGCAGCGCTGGCCTCATGGGTCGGCAGCGCTGCCTGGTGCAGATCATCCGGCACCACAGACTCGCAGCCGACGTTAAACTGGTATGGCCGCCCATCGCCGCGGCACACAATTTCAAACGCGTCGTAGTACTCGAGCGACGGGACCGTTGTTCCCGGCACCGTCCGGAACGAGGCAAAGCCCGACCGATCGTACCCGGGCGCCGGCGTCGTCGACAGCTCGCCCTTAAACACAACATGCGCCTCATATCCAGGCCCGTCCCCAGCCACCGCCTCGGCCGTCGCCCGTGAGCTGCCCTGGATCGTCTCGTCGGTCACCACCATCCACGAGCCCATCTCCAGCGGCTCGATCTCCGTCCCGGCCTCGGCCGCCGCCTCGGCCTCGGCCTTGGACCACCCGCCCCACGCCGTCAGCCGCACCACCGCCTGCGGCAGCGCAGGCCCAGCTTTCATAGCCCGCCACCGGCTCTTTAGTGCCCGAAACATGCCTTCCTCCACACTACCGCGTCCTGCCGAGTGATGTGGTTGCCAACCTGTGTCTTGCCCTCGGCGCCGAGCTGCTGAAGCTGCCGAGTTAGCACGTCGCAGCCCGTCGCAGCCCGTCGCAACACACGCAACACACGCGATGAGCACTCAATCGACTCCGCAAGTCATCCCCATACCTACGGGTTTACACTCTACATTCACGCGCAGCACTTTGGTGTTTTCCATCACCTCCACCTGCCCCCTACACGCACCGATCTCCATCCCGATCTCTCTCCCGCCCATGACGCGCTCCTTGCGCCTACCCTGATACCGCACACAACAGAACACACACCAACGCCCACCCGGCCACCAACACCGCCATTCACCCCCGTCCACTCCTACACGCCCCCACACACCCTTTCGGCCCTCCGATCCTCCGATGTGACCATTTCCCCCTCTCCGGCCCACCTCAGCAGACCGGCCAGTTGCGGCCACCGCCCGCACCAACCCTTCCAACCGAACACACACACACACATACACACACACACACCACAAACTCCACACAGACCCCACCCCTCTCTTACGCTCTATCATGTCGCAGAAGAACTTTGTGGTTGTGGCTGCTGCTGCTGGTGCTGTGGCTGTGGCTGCCGCTGCTGGGTACTACCTCTACACCTCTATGTCGTCGACGACGACCAAGGCGGCGGTCAGCAAGGAGACAAGCTCGGCTGCCGAGACGACGACCCCGACGACCAGCTCGGCTTCTCAGGCCCAGGATGGCGTTGAGACGGCTACTTCGCAGACGTCTGTCGAGAACAGCTCGCCCATCCCGCGCTCGTCGGCGGGCAAGAAGAAGAAGAAGAAGTCGTCGTCGTCCACTACCACCGCTACCGCTGCCGCCTCGTCCGAGTCCTCGTCCACCGCTGCTGCAGCCACTACAGCCGCTGTTCCGGCAAGCCCGACTCCGTCGGCAGCCGCTCCTGCCTCGGTCGCGTCCCCGGCGACGCCTGCCTCGCGTACGATCTGCCTGCATCCCCCTCCTCCTTGCCTGGCCCGCTCTGATCCCTCACTCCCCACTCACCCTTCCCCCTCTCTCTCACCTCCTCTTTCCATTCAGAGACCTCGGGCGGCAACGCGTCGACGCCGACGACCGCTGCTGTCGCTGCCAAGTCGCCCGGTGCCTCGGTAGTCTCCTCGCCCATCACCATCTCGTCGACCCCGACCGAGGAGACGGTCAAGGCCAACGAGCCCGCTGTCATCCCGCCGGATGCCGAGACCTTCCCGAGTACGTCATATTCTCCCTCTTACTACCCCCCCCCCCACCACCACCACCACCACCCCAACCCTAACCCTAACCCCCTCGCCACTTACAACACCCACCCCGTCCCATCGCAGCCGATGCCGCCGAAGAGGCACCGGTCGAGGATCTTGCACCCGGAGGCTCCGTGCCGCGGTTTGGCATGGGCATCCGCCGCTAACGCTGCTAGCATCCGCGCTTCGCCCATCATGCATCACCCCCCATCCCATCAAAGGACTCAAACGCAACCCCCCCCCCCCCCCTCCCCCTCCTCCTCCTCCTCCCCACTCAGTCGTGCCAACTCCCTGACGCCACCACCACGTCACCCTAACCACACACGCCACAAGCCACACACCACACACACACCTCTCCACCACACACACTCTCTCTCACACACACACGCAGTTCGCTCTCTCCCAATTCCACACATGTCTTGCTCTTCCTCGTCCGAACCCCCGCTCCTCGTCGAGGCTACCGATACGGTGGGGAGCTCTGAGGCGGGTCCTGGCGGTCAGGCCGACGGTGCCGTAGCTGACGATAGCAAAGTTCCGGTCACCATCATCACGGGCTACCTGGGAGCCGGCAAGACGACGCTGCTGAACTATGTGCTGACCGCGCAGCATGGCAAGCGCATTGCGGTGCTGATGAACGAGTACGGCGGCCGCGGGATTGAGGAGTCGATGGCGCAGCGCGACGTGAACGAGCCGCCAGTGCTGGCCGAGGACGACGATGGAGAACAGGCGTCCAAGGCCGACTTGTACGAGGAGTGGGTCGAGCTCAAGAACGGGTGCATCTGCTGCTCAGTCAAGGATGAAGCTGTCTCGGCGCTGGAGGCGCTGATGGAGAAGAAGGGCAAGTTTGACTACATCCTACTCGAGACGACCGGCCTCGCCGACCCGGGCCCCTCGCCTCGATGTTCTGGCTCGATGAGGGTCTGCACTCGGCCATCTACCTCGATGGAGTCGTGACTCTGGTCGACGGCATCTACGGCCTCGAGCAGCTGGCCGAGGAGGCGCCGCGCGGCGCGCCCGAGAACCTCATCAACGAAGCCGTCAACCAGGTCGCCCACGCCGACGTCGTCATCCTCAACAAGGCCGACTTGGCCACGCCGCAGAACCTGGCCGACCTCTCTGCCGCCGTCCTTGCCATCAACTCGCAGGCCCGCATCCTCACTACCACCCGCTCGCAGGTCGATCTCGACGACATCCTCAACATTGCCGCCTACGACTTTAAGCCGCCGCTCATCGTCGACGAGGCCGGACCCGCCTCGCACGACCACGATCACAACCATGACCATGATGATGGTGTGCCCTGTGTAACCTGCCCGCCGACCCACGTCCACTCGGCCGAAGTCACCACCCATGTTGTCGAGACCCCGCACCCGCTGGTCAAGGCCCGCCTCGTCGCATGGCTTGAGGACTTGCTGTGGGAGGACCACGCCCCGACGCTCATCCTTCGCGCCAAGGGCCTGCTCAACTACGCCGGCTCGGATCTCAAGCACGTCTTCCAGGCCGTCCGCCTCCAGTACGACATCGTCTCGACCGTCCACTGGGACTCGGCAGACAACCGCATCTCGCGCCTGGTCTTTATCGGCAAGCACCTCCCACCGACGCCCTCGATTCCGCCTTTGCCGCCTGTGTCGCCACTCCTGACGAGCTTGCCCATGCCATCGCCAACCCACCGACGTCGGACTCGGACGACGATGCGTAAACCCGCGACTCACCGCCAACCGCCGCACTCCTACCGAACAACACCCACCCACCCACTTCCCACCACACATACACACACATATATATATACATACATACACACGCACACACATTCTCTCTCACACACCATGTCTGCTGACAAGGATGCGTGGGTGGCCACGCAGCACAGAGTACGCCCCACCCCTACCCCCCCCCTCCCTCCCTGCCCCTAACCCCCAAAACCCCTACCTCCACCCGCCTCCACCCAGTCGCACTCACTCACACGCACACACACACTCTCTCTCTCTCTTGCCAGACCTTCACTGCATGGGTCAATGCCAACCTCAGAAAACACTCGAGCAAGCCCGGTGCCATCGATAATCTAAAGACAGAGCTCAAGGACGGTCTCCCGCTCATCTATCTGCTCGAAGTTCTCATCGGCGGCAAGGTGGGCGGCGGAGCGTACAAGACCAATGCCCGGATGAAGATCCTCCAACTGAACAACATCAACTTTGCGCTCGAGGCATGCCGCGACGCGGGCATTCGGGTCACATGTGGTGCGGACGATGTCTTTGACGGCAATCTCAAAATGATCCTTGGCCTGGTGTGGACAATCATTCTCCGCTTCCAGATCTCCGGCGACGACGATGGCGGAAGCAGCTCAGCCGGAGCCGCAAAGTCGGCTCTCCTCTCCTGGGTGCAGGCGCACATCGGACACTATCCTGACATGGAGCTAACCAACTTTACGTCGTCGTTCCAGGACGGCCGTGCACTCTGTGCTCTAGTTCACTCGCTGGATCCAGCCCTGCTCGACTACGACGGCGCGCTCGAGCTCGAGCCGCTTGCCCGCGCCGAGAAGGCATTTTCTCTTGCTGCCGATCGCTTTGACATCCCGCAGCTTCTCACCGCTAGTGATCTTGTCGACCACCCGGACTCGCATTCGGTCATGACCTACGTCTCGTACTTCCGCGCCGTCGCCAAGCACCTCGAAGCCACGTCCAAAATCGACAAGGCCTCGCTGGAGGAGGCCAAGCGCGACGCCGTCTCTCGCCTGGAGGCTGCCCTTGCCCGAGTTGCAGAGCTTGAGGCCGCCCTCGCGGCCGCCACCGCGGAGTCGACAGCCCACATCGAGCAGCTCGCCGAGTCGTCTGCTGCTGCCAAGCTTCTCCAGCTCCGGGTTGACTCGCTCGAGGCCGCCAACGCCGAGCTCAAGGCCTCAGTCGAGTCGTGGATCGAGAAGTCGGCCCACATTGAGCACTCGCTGGCAGACTGCCACGACACATGTGCCTCCAAGGACGCAGAGCTCGAGGCTCTAGCCGCCAAGCTCGATGCCGCAAATGCTGCCGCCAGCAAGATGCAGACTGCCGTCGATGCCGCCGACGCCGCCAAGGACGTCGCAGCAAAGGACGTCGCCGCAGCAAAGGGCGCTGCCGCCAAAGAAGCCGCCGATGCCGCCGATCGTTATGCCAAGCTTGAAGCCGAGCTCGCTGCTCTCCGCGACGACCTCGCCGCCACCCAGGCCGATCTCGACGACTGCTGCACCACCCGTGCCGAGCTGACCAAGGCCAAGCGCGAGCTAGAGGACAAGCTCTCGCAAGTTACCCGCAAGTCGCTCTCGGCCTCTGAATCGGCGTCCATGGTCGAAGCAAAGGTCTCGTCGCTCACTGCTGAGCTCTCGTCGACCGAGGCCGAGCTCACCGCTGCTCGCTCCGACGTCTCGACGCTCACCGCCGAGCGTGACACAGCCCGCGAAAACACTACCCGGCTCACCTCGGAGCTGGAGGCGCTCAGGACTGAGTTCGCTGCCGAAAAGGAGACAACCGCCAAGCTCCGGGACGAGCTTGACTCGCGGGTGACTCAAATCGGCGAGCTGTCCGAGTCGGCGTCATCACGCGAGTCCGAACTCGCTGCCCAAGTCTCGGCCCTCGAGGCCGAGCTCGCCGATAGCCGCGACGCTGCTGCCGCTGCCGACGCCTCGATCAAGTCGCTCACTGCCCGACTCGAAGCCTCGCAGGCTTCGGCCGCCGAACTCGAGACTGAGCTGGCGGCCAAGTCGAGCGACGCCGACAAGTCTGCACAGGCGCTCGCCAAGCTGCAGATGGAGGCCGATCAGGCTGCTCGACGCATCGAGTCGCTCGAGGCTGCGCTCGCCGCTACCCAGGACCGCGAGGCTACCGCCTCTCGCTCCGCCGATGAGCTCCGGGTCGAACTCGACGAGACGGCGCGGAACTTGTCCCGCGAAAAGGCGTTCTCCGCCAAGTTGCAGGAAGAGGCCGCTGCCGCCGTCAAGACCGAGGCCAAGCTCCGCGCCGATGTGCTTGCTGCCGAGGAGGCGGTTCTGGACGAGCGCGACGCCTCTGCCGCGCTCAGTGACAAGGTCGCGCAGCTCGAGGCTCGGGTGGCCGCTGCTGCTGCTGCCGACGACGATGCCGACGACGACGCCGCGTCAGCCGCCGCTGCCGAGATTGCGTCGCTCGAAGCGCTGGTCAACTCACTCCGCGCCAAGGTCCGGAGCGCACAGACCGAGGCCCTCAATGCCAACTCGGACCGCGAGTCGGCTCTGGCCAGCGCCGAGGCGCTCAAATCGGACGTCGAGCACGCCCGCGCGCAGGCTGCTGCCGAGCGCGACGCCCTCGAGGCTGAACGCGCCGCCCGTGAAGCCGTCGCGTCGGAGCTCATGAAGACCGAGTCATCCGTCCAGGAGCTGCAAAGCCAGCTGGAGGCGTCGGCTCGCGAGCGCGCCGCTCTTGCCGACGAGCTCGCCGCCCTCCGCGCCGCGTCGGTTGCCACCGGTTCACACGCTGCCGAGTCGGACGCCGCGCTCGAAGAGGCCGCATCCGAGCGTACCCGCCTCGCTGTCGAAATCCAGTCGCTGCAAGAGAGCCTTGCACAGACTGTGGCGGCGCGCGATGCGGCGGCAAAGGCGACCGAGGCCGCAGCGGCCAAGGCCGCCGAAGCTGCTGCCGATGCCGAAACGCTGCGCGAGGCCCGCGATGCCGAGGCCCACGCCAAGGTTCTCGCCGAGACCCGTGTGGCGTCGTTAGAGAAGCAAATTGCGCGGATTGAGGCCGAGGCCGAGTCGCGAGTCGCCGCCGAGCGCGCGCGCATGGAGGCCTCGCACTCGTCGCTCAAGCGCGAGCTCGACAACTCGGTCGAGGCCACCGGCTCGCAGGCCGCCATCATGGCCGACCTAGAGGCCAACTTTCAGGCGCTCTCGGCAGCCCATGACGAGTGGCATGCCAAGTACCTTGCCGAACAGGGAAAGCGGGTCGAAAAGAGCACGAGCTTGCGCAGAAGACGCAAGAGGCGCGGATGGCCACCTCGCAGGCCGAGTCGCTCAAGGACGCGCTCGCCGAGGCGCAGGCCGAGGTGGATGAGCTCACCGCGCTCAAGATCAAAATGCATGGCGACCTCGCCAAGCTGGAGGACCTGGTGCTCCAGTTGCAGGGCAAGGCCAAGAAGACCAAGGCCAAGGCCAAGGACCAGGTCGCCAAGCTTGTGGCCGAGCTCAAGGACCGCGATCTCAAGATCGCCGAGCTCTCGCGTGAGCGCGGCGACGCGGCAGGCTCGCTCTCGGTCGTCCGCAAGCGCGCCACCTCGCTTCACCTCTCCAACAAGCAGCTGAAGGAGGCCATGGGTGCCACCGAGTCGTCGCTCCACGAGCTTCGCTCGGCGCTCGATGCTGCCAACCGCCACAACGCCGAGTTGGAGGCCGAGCGCGACGAAGCCACCGCGACGCTCAAGGCCGAGCGCGCCGACATGGCGGCCCGTCTTGAGCGCGCTACCGCGTCGGCCTCCATGTCCGAGGAGCGCGCCGATGAAGCCGAGTCGCAGAACGCATCGCTTGTGGCTGAACTCGACCTCGTCCGCTCCACTCTCACCGACGCCAAGACCACGCTTGCCGAGCTCCGCATCGAGTTCCGCCATCTGAAGGCGTCCAAGGCTGCTGCCCTTGCCGAGCAGGCCGACGAGCTCGCAGCCGCCCGCGGCCTCGTCGACGCCAACAAGGCGCTGACCAAGGAGCGCGACGAGCTCGCCCTCGCCCGCGCACGCATGTCCAAGGTCGTTCGCACCCTCCGCCGCCGTCTCAACGAGGAGGAAGCCGCCAAGCGCGAGCTCATTCTCAAGCTTGAGACCGGTCAGCGGACGAAGGAGGAGATCGAGGCCATCGCCATCCTCCAGTACCAGCTCGGTGAGGCCCAGGCTGCCGTCAAGGCCTGTACCTGCGGCGCCGCCTCGGCCTCGCGCTAGTTGGCCTTGGATCGGTAGCGTTGTCGATCAATCGTCGACCAGAAGCCGTCCAGGCGAGCCGCAGCTAAAGTAAAGCTAGCTGAAGTGAACGCAAGAATAGACCACAGTCTGTTGCCTGCCGCCTGCTGCCCGCGCTCCTCTCGCCACACACCACTCCCACCGCGCCCACGCAACACCACTCTCGCCACACGTTGGTACACCATGCGACTTGCGCTCGGGGCCAAGTCGTTCTTCGCCAACCCACCGCCCGCCACCTCGGCCTCGCACACCACGCCGACGCTGGTCGTCCTCTCGCGGTTCCACTCGCTCGCCCCGCTGCGCCACCCGCACCTCGCGGCGCTGCTCTCGCTCGCCCGCGGCCGACATGAACGGCTGACTCTTGTCTCTGAGTATGCCACGTCCACCCTGGATGGATGCCTGGAGGCGTACGCGGGCGATGCGGCAAAGTGCGCCTGTGCCTGTGTCCAACTTATTGATGCACTGGCTTGTCTCGAGGCGCGGGGTGTGGCCGGCATCAATCTCGCTCCACGCGCCGTCCTCACACTCGGAGACTCGGTGCTCAAGATCGCCGACTATGCCATGGCCCATATCACCGATAATGGCGCGCTCGTCGACTTTGATGTCGTTGACCCGCGGCTTGCCCCGCCCGAAGGCCTAGACGTGATCTCGCCAAAGGCGGACGTTTGGGCGCTCGGCCTTGTTCTCGCTGCGCTTTGGCTCGGCACTGAGTGGCAGCTGAGTCTCAGTGATGAGGCCGAGCCGGTCGAGGCGCAAATAGCTACCCTCATAGAGCCAATGCCGCCGCTGATGGCGAGTTTTGTGGCGCTGGCGCTGGCGGTCGACGTCGAGGCACGGCCGCTCGCCTCGGAGCTGCTGTCGCACCCGTGGCTGGCCGGTGGGACCAATCCGAGCGGCGGATGGATTTGGGCTCCTCAGCCTGTCGTGCGCTCGCTCCACCTCCCGCCGCTCGACGAGGTGCTCGATGACGCGTCGCTCGACGACATCCTCGCATACTTTCCCATCGAGCACGTGCTGACTTTTGGCGGCTGATGGGCGGCGACGAGGCAAGCGTCACAGCCGACGCGCCGGCGTCTAAGCTTCCATCGATCGCGCGTGTGCCTCGGATTGTGCGTCTCGCGGCGACGCCGAGCACAGCCCGGGTGGCGTCGGCGGCGGCGGCGGCGTACTCGGCCGAGCTCCACATCATCGAACTTGACGGCCTTGCGCGCCGGCTCACCGAAGGTCTGGCGCGATTCAAGGCGTCGTGCGAGACCCAGGCCGAGAACGGCGAGACCTACATGTTCGGCTCGCCGTATCTCGCCGCGTCAGCCATGCTTGTGCAGGCCGACGACGGGTCCGCCTTTGAGCCTGCCGCCGTCCCGCTCGTCATCCGAGAAGCCGACCTCGACTACCAGCTCGCGCGCATCTTTGTCTTTACTCGCATTCTCCGCGACATGCCGCACTCGCGGGTGGAACTCCTTGCCGAGGCGCGCATCGACGTTCCGCCGCTGCTCCGCGGCGAGATCTGGGCCGCCATTCTCGGCCTCGGCGCGCCGCACGCCGTTGCAGCTCACTATCACAGCGTCGACAAGGTCTCGCCGCACGTGTCGGACCACCAGATTGCGGTCGACTGCCGCGATGCCACCAGTACGACGACATGCTTGCCACGCCGCTTGGACACGCCAAGCTCACCCGGGTCATCAAGCGGTGGACAGCCGGCCACTCGGTCATGGTCTACTGGCAGGGCCTTGACTCGGTCGCGGCTCCGTTTGTGCGGCTCCTTTTCCACGACGAAGCCCTCGCTTACGGCTGCCTCGAGGCAGTCATCAACAAGCACCTCGCCGACTTTTTCGTCGAAGACAACTCGGTCATCATGCGCAAGAGCCTTGCCGCGTTCTCCGCGCTGATGGCGTTCCACTTTCCGCGTGTCGCCGCTCACCTCCTCACCATGGACTTTCGGCCCGAGCTCTACGCCATTCCCTGGTTTCTCACCCTCTTTGCGCACGTCTTTCCCATCGACTCGCTGGTTGTTCTCTGGGACACCCTCCTCCTCGGCCACACCTCGCTCAAGTTCTTTGTGGCGCTTGCGCTTGTCGAGCAAATGCAATCACTCCTCGTCTCGGCCGACTTTTCGGTCTGCATCCTTGCCTTTTCCGAGCTGCCCAACGTTGACTTTGAGCTCGCAGTAACGGCTGCCAAGCGGCTTTTTGCCGCCACTCCGCCGTCGATCCGCAAGCTTCAGCTCTCGCCTGTCGCGCATCTGGACGATCCAGTCGAACCCGAGTGGTCGCCGCGCATTGCGCCTGCTGATGTCCTCGCTGCGCTGCGCGCGAGTCCGCGCCGCGCCTGCGTTCTCGACATTCGCCTTCGTGAGCACATAGTCCGCGACGGCGGCACCCTCCAGTCGGCCGTCGTCATTCCGTATCCCGAGGTCGAGGTCGAGCCGTCGCGGCTCCTCGACGAGCTTCCACCCACCGTCGACGGGCAGGGCGTCCGGATCGTGGCCATTGTGGCGTCGGCTCCGGATCACGCCACCAACGTTGCGCAGGCGCTTGTAGCTGCCGGTCTCGCCCATGTTGCCATTGTTGACGGCGGCTGGGAGGCGCTCGCAGCGCAGCGCAAGGCGCGGTCCGCGCAAGCGTAGCTGCTTCTACAAGGCAACTTCCGTAAAGTGTATGGCGTTTACTTCCACGCGTGGCGGACATTCCGACTCCCGTCACGGCTCTTTCCGCGCGACGCCGCAGTGCCGCTGAGATAGCCCGGGGTGCGATCGCGCTCGCGGCCGCGGCCGCGCTCGCGGCCATGACGAGGATGACCACCACGGCCTTCAGTCCGCGACGGCTTGTCGGTCTGCGAACTTGATCGCGACCGCCGCCGCACGCGCTGGCGCACCGGCTGCCTCTCGTTATGCCGGCCCTGGCGAGCGCCGTGTGAGCCGTGGCTCTCGTCGCCGCGCCGACTGCTGCGTGACTTCTTGGGCGACTGCGGGAGTTGCGACTGCAGCTGCGACATTTTGGACTGTAGCATACCAATCTGAGCCTGGACCGAGGTAGATGCATCAGTATCGTGCTCGTGCTCGTACTCGGACTCGTCGGACGAGCTCACGTCGGCGTCGGCGTCGGCTCCGGCTCCAGCACTTGTACCGGCAGCCTGCGTCGCCAAAAACGTGTCGAACATCGACGAGACCCGCTGCGAGACTTCGGCCACAATGTTGTCGCGGGCGCTGGTGGCCTCGGTGTCCTTGGACGCCTCCTCCTCAAAGCCGCGGACAACACGCGCAAAGGCGGCGTCAATCTCGGACGCGCGTGCGTTCTTGGTCGCAATGGCAGCCTTGATGGCAGCAACGTTGTTGTCGGCGGAAGCGCCGAGCGGAGCAGGCGCAGAGCTGCCGCGATCGGGCGTGGCGGCGTGGACCGGCGACGGCGGGAGCGGGGTCGGCTCAGGCTGGCGCGCCAGTGGCGACGGTAGCGAGTCGGCAAGTGAGCGCCGGTAAGCCTCTAGCTTGGCCTGCTGCGAGGAGACAAGGCTGTTGAGCTGGCCGTGGTGGTCCTGGATGAGGGTCTCGATGTTGCCGCGGAGCTCGTCGATGGTGGCGTAGGCGGCGGCAAGCTTGGCCGACGTTGCCCGCGACGCCTCCTTGGCCGACACCAGCTGGCTCTCCAGCACGCTGTTGGCCTGCTTGGTGTGCTCGAGTACGAGTGCAAGCTCCTTGTTGGCCGCCTGAAGCTTGGCAACCTTGTCGCGAAGCGCCATCTTGGTCGACGCGCGATCGGCCTCGTCAGCTGAGTAAGACGCCAGGATGTCCGAGATCTGGCTCTGCATCCCGTCAAGCTGCTCGGCAAAGCGGAGCTCGGCTGCGGCCAGTCGCTCGCGCTCGTCCGCCAACGCGGCTTCATAGTCGTCAGCCTCGCGGGCGGCGTCGTTGCGAAGCTCGGCAACGTATGCGTTGTGCTCCTCGCGGAGCGCTGTGAGCTTGGCTTCAGCATCGACCTGTGCCTGCGCCACGCGGGCCTCGGCCTCGCGGACCGCTTTTTCGAGCGCAGCCTCGCCGCGGGCGGCCTCTTCGGCAACAGCGGCGGAGAGCGCAGCCCTGCCCGCCTCGGCTGCCGACGTCACGTCCTGCTCGGCCTGGGCGCGGGCAGCGAGCGCGGCCGCGTGGGCATCCTTGAGCGCGTCGTACTCGTTCTGAAGTGCAGCGAGCGAAGCTTCGAGGAGCGAGACGCGCTTGGAAGCGCCCGACGCACGTGAGCGCTCTTCCTGAAGCAGCGCGGTCACCGACGCATTGTTCTTCCGCCACTCGGCCTCGAGCTCGTCGCGGGCGACGTTCCACGCCGCACGCTCGTCATTGGCCGCCGCCCGCAGCTCGGCGGTCTCGTCCTTGAGCTTGTCGATGTTCTCGAGCGCTGCGTCGTACTTGGCGTGCAGCGCGTCACGGGCGTCGACCGCCCGCTGCGCCTGAGCCTGCGCCTCGGAGAGCTGCAGCCGCAACTCACGCTCGGCCGACGCCGCCTTTTGCTCGGCAAACAGGGCTTCCTTGCGCTCGGCGGTGAGCTTCTCGACCGTCTGCGCGAGGTCAGCCTCGAGCTGCGAGCGAAGCGCAGCAGCGTCGGTGGCCTTAGAGCCGGCGGCAGCCTCGGCGGCGGCGAGCTTCTCGCGGAGTGCGGCAATGGTCTGGGTGTGGGTGAGCGAGCGGTCCTGGTGGAAGGCGCGCTCCGACTCGAGCGTGGCCTTTGTCTGGGCGAGTGCGGCCTCGAGGCGCGCAATCTCGCTGGCGGCGGCCGCTGACCCGTCGGTGCTCTCCAGTGCCGATCGCTGCAAGTACGAGATCATGGCGTCCTTCTCGGCCAGCGCAGCCTCGAGGGCGGCGACGCTCTCGTTGGCCTTGACCGTCGTCATCTGGACGGCATGCTGCGAGCGTGCCTCCCGAGCCGCCGACGCCCGAAGCTCCGACTCGAATGCAGCCTCTTGCTCGTCGAGCTTGGCCTCATACTGCGCCGCGGTCGAGTCGAGCGTAGTCGAGAGGTTGAGGATGGTCTTTTGCAGTGCGCCGGAGGTCCGCGCGGCCTCGGACGTCAGCTCTGCTGCCAGCGATGGCGAACGAGAAGCATAGCTCGTCGCGCCGAGGCTCAGGCCCGACCCGTTGAGCACCCGAACCGAGTCGCCGGCGGTATTTGCTGCCGCGCCCGCCTTGCCTGTCGCCGCCGCCAGCTTGTCCTTCTCCCTCTCCAGCGTTGCCAGATACGCCTCGCGCATGATCGACTCTGACCGAGAACCCGAGCCATCAGTCCGGCCTCCCAGCCGACTAGCAGCCAGCGATGCGCCGGCCATGGCCTCGCCACCACCAGAGAGCGACGACCTGGGTCCGGCGGCCTCGGTGGCGGTGCCGAAGGAGAGCTTGGCGGCAGGTGACGCTGCGAGCTCCTGCTGTGTGCGAGCACGAATACGCTCCATCATACGCTTCACCATAACAGACGGAGAGTCCATGGTGAAGGATGTTTGTGGGGGGGAGGGGGGGGGGAGGGGGAGGGGGGAGGTGGAGAGGTGCCCGTGCCCGATGCCGGTGCGGGTGGCGACAGCTTGGCGCCAAACTTTGGTCGGCCAACGAACGGTTGAATGCCAACACTAGGAAGGAGGGAGCCGGTGGCTGGCGACGGGAGCCGACGGCTGGCGACGGGAGCCAATGGCTGGCGACGGGAGCCAATGGCTGGCGACGGGAGCCGATGGCTGGCGACGGGAGCCGATGGCTGGCGACGGGAACCAATGGCTGGCGACGGGAGCCGATGGCTGGCGACGGGAGCCGACGGCAGGCGACGGGAACCAATGGCTGGCGACGGGGGCCGATGGCTGGCGACGGGGGCCGATGGCTGGCGACGGGAGCCGACGGCTGGCGACGGGAGCCGATGGCTGGCGGCAGGCACCGACGGCAGGCAACGGGAGCCGATGGCTGGCGACGGGAGCCGATGGCTGGCGACGGGAGCCGACGGCAGGCGACGGGAACCAATGGCTGGCGACGGGGGCCGATGGCTGGCGACGGGGGCCGATGGCTGGCGACGGGAGCCGACGGCTGGCGACGGGAGCCGATGGCTGGCGGCAGGCACCGACGGCAGGCAACGGGAGCCGATGGCTGGCGACGGGAGCCGACGGCTGGCGACGGGAGCCGACGGCAGGCGACGGGAACCAATGGCTGGCGACGGGGGCCGATGGCTGGCGACGGGGGCCGATGGCTGGCGACGGGGGCCGATGGCTGGCGACGGGAGCCGACGGCTGGCGACGGGAGCCGATGGCTGGCGACGGGAGCCGACGGCTGGCGACGGGAGCCGATGGCTGGCGGCAGGCACCGACGGCAGGCAACGGGAGCCAGTGGAGAAATGATCGGTTGCCTAAAGGGAAGATGTTGCTGATGGGATGGTCTGTGGTGGTCATCGACGTCGCGCGGCGGCGAGGTACTTGGCGAGCGAGTCTGAACCTCGCATCGATGGCGATGGCAATGGCAATGGCAGACGATGCGAAGACTACATCTCCGCCGCTGCCATCGCCATCCATGGCTGTGGCAGAAGCCGTGACGTGGGAATGACGAGCCTGAGAGCCAATTCGGCGACTCAGGCCCCGACCACCAGCACCAGCAGACTCTTCTCACTCGAGCACAGGATGGAGCGGCACGTGGTGACAGGCAGCCAAGCTGCGGTCAAGTACTGGCTCGCAGACCACACGACATGTTCAGAGTCCGAGGCTGGTGTGTACTGGCTGGTGCCGGCTACCACCGCCTATCCAGCTGCCAAGGCTGAGACTGAGGCTGAGGCTGACCGAGTCATCGTCATGGACAACTCGGCGGCGTGCAGCGAGGCGATGGCAGCGGTCAAAGACGGAGCGGCTGTGGTGGTGTACGATGTGGATCGGGTGCTAGCGTGTGCGCATGCGGCAGGCGGAAGGCTGTTCGCGGACGTCATCCGGGTCTGTACCGCGGCGTCGACGCTTGTCCTCGCCTTTGAGCCCGCGACGGCGAGGAGCGTGGCCGGCGACACGCTGGTGGCGACGTTGGCAGGCGGGATCGAGGGCGTGGAGGTGAGCGACGACGATGTGCAAAGCAGCATGGGCATCGGGACGGTGGTAGGCGCGCAGGTGGCCGCGTGGCGGGTCGAGACGCTGCTGATTGCGCCCTCGGCGGCGCCGGGCGATCCGTGGCAGCCGTGCGCACCGCCGCTGTACCAAACGGCGACGTTTGTGCAGCCGGGCGCGCGGGTCAACGGCCCGTACGACTATACCCGGTCAGGAAATCCGACGCGGACTGCGGTGCAGGAGGCACTGCGCCGGCTCATTGCCCGAGCGTCCGGGCTGGACGCGTCGAGCGTCGCTGTCTTTGCGCTGAGCACGGGCATGGCGGCGCTCTCGGCTGTGGTCAACCTTGTGCCGCCGGGCGCGACCGTGGTGGCGTGCGACGATCTCTACGGCGGCATGCATCGGCTGCTGACCCAGGTCGCAAGCCCGCACGCCGGCATCAAGACTGAGTTTGCGCGGGTGAGCGACGCCGACGCGCTGCGGGCGCGCCTCACTGAGCTCGCCGCCGACGGCCACGACGTCCGCCTCGTCCACATCGAGTCGCCGTCGAATCCGTTGCTACACATTGCTGACATTGCGGCGGTGGCCGCGGTCGTCCACGACGCCGGCGCCCTGCTCTCGGTCGACAACACCATGATGACCCCGCTGGGGCAGGCGCCGCTGGCACTCGGCGCCGACATTGTTGTCCACTCGGCAACAAAGTACCTGTGCGGCCATGCCGACGTCATGGCCGGCGTGGTGGCAGTCAACACCGCAGCAGCACCTTGCGCGGCGGACACTCTCAAGTTTCTGGTCAACGCTCAGGGCTCAGGCCTTGCTCCCATGGACTGCTGGCTAATGCACCGCTCGCTCAAGACGCTGCGGGTGCGGACAGCAGCAGCTGTGGCGGCCGGCGCCAAGATTGAGGCTTTTCTCGCCTCGGCCCCGTGGGTCACCGCTCTACACTCGGCACGCGGCTCGGCGGTTCACGCCGCGCAAGCCGCCTGGATCCCGCCGGTCTTCTCGTTTGAGACCGGCGACGTCGAGTTCTCCGCCCGCCTCCTCAAGGCTTGCCGCGTCTTCAAGATCTCGGTCTCATTTGGCTCGGTCGCCTCGGTCATCGAGCTTCCTGCCGCCTTTTCGCACGCCTCCATTTCTCCCGACGCCCGCACGCTGCCGCAGGACCTGGTCCGCCTCTCAGTCGGCCTCGAGCACCCGGACGATCTCATTGCCGACCTCGCCGCCGCTGCCGCTCTAGCTGCCGCCCGGTCGCCTCTCCCGGCTCGCCCGGTGCCGTCCTGAGCCCCGATCTAGGCTGAACCCCGCTTGAGCCTAGCAAGAGTACATCAAGACCACAACACATACCCCGCCATCAATCAAACTTCCCCTGCCCGGCTCCTTTCCCCCACGCGCGCTCGTAGCAACCTGCATCGAGGTGAGAGAGAGAAAAAAAAAACTCCGCTCGCGCGCCAATGCGACTCGCAGCGACAATGCCCAAAAGCGACCATCGACGACCGACAAAGGCAAAGAGGGGGGGAGGGAGGGAGGGAGGCTAGGGGAGGCACAGGCGTACGACACAACACTCGACCAAACTCAAGTCAAGTATGTCCCAAGCACGGCACCCCAAGCGCCTCCATGTGTCTGGCCTCTCTGACGAGGTCCGCATGGACGACATGCACAACATCTACGGTCGGTACGGACGGGTGGTGGACGTGTGCCTCAAGCGTGGCTTTGCCTTTGTCGAGTTTGAGACTCGTGGCCAAGCGCTGGACGCTATCGAGGCTACCGACAACCTCCCTGTCTTTGGTCGGCCCATTCGTGTTGACTTTGCCAACGACCGGAGGGGCTTTGGTGCTGCTGGTCGCGTCGGCCCGCCCGGTGGTGGTGGACACGGCATGCCGCCGCCGCGTGAGCGAGGTGGTCGCGCTCCGCAGGGGCCCAAGTTCCCTGTGCTGGTCGAGGGCATTGCCCCGCGCACCTCGTGGCAGGATCTGAAGGACTTTGCTCGCTCTATTGCCGAGCCGGGCTTTGCCAACGTCTTCTCCGACGCACAGGGTCCGTTTGGCATCATCGAGTTCCGCTCCATGGAGGACGCCGCCGACGCCGTCATGCGGCTCAACGAGACTGAGATCAACGGCGACCGCGTCACCGTCCGCTTCGAAAAGTCCATCCGCGAAGAGGGCGAGGCCTTTGTCGACCGCTACATGGCGAACCCGCCGCCGCCGCCGGTTGACTCTGCCCCGGCCGGCGACGCGTACCGCGAGCGCCGCTCGCCGCCGCGCGCCTCGTACGACGACCGCCGCCACAGCCGCGAGCGCTCCCGCTCTCGCTCGCACGGCCCGGCTCGCTCGCGCTCCCGCGAGCGCGACAACGACTACCAGCCCATCACCGATGCCGAACGCGCTACCGCCGCCGAGAAGATCGCCGCTGACGCCGAGCCCGTGCCGCCGCAGGACCAGGACGTGCCGCCGCAGGACCAGGACGCGCCGCCGCAGGAGTAAGCCGAACTCAAAGCCCAAGACGAGGCCGACGACGACAACATCCGAATACATTTTTACCGAGGAGAGACCTACCGCCTTCGCCGCGCTGCGCGAGGACGCCAGGGACGAAGCTTGCACCGCGCTGTGGTGCTTGATGGTGCAACCACGACCGGGACTCGAACAATGCCTGTGGCTGGTGGTGGTGACGCGGTCGAGAGGAGCGTGGGTGGGGTCGAGGTGGAAGTGGGGGGCGCGGGGGCGGTAGGTGGGGGCAGGAGGGGGACCGAGGCGGTGCCAGGTGGCGTGGCGGTGGTGGCTGCCACCGCGGCAAGCGATGCGAGGCCACCGCTCGTCGGCGGCACTGCCGCAAGAGACGCGAGTCCGTCAGGCTGCGCTCCCGCCGGCCGGCTGGCTGTTGCCAGCGACGCCAGCCCGCCGGGCCGCACAACCGTCGCCGCGCTTGTCGTCGCGAGCGACGCCAACCCGCGTCCGGTGCTGCTTGGAGCCGATGCGGGTGGAGCCCGGGCCGAGGCCGCTGAGGCCAGCCCGGTGAGCCCGCCCAACAATGGCGATGGCTTGGCCCGCCCAGCTGTGGCAGCGAGGCCGGCCAGCCCTGTTGTCGGAGCCGATGCCACGCCACCAAAGCCCGGCGCCGGATCAGCCCGAGGCGTTGCCGCCACCGCTGCGCGCGGCCGCCGGCCCGGCCGACGGTATTGGTGCGACGGCGCGGCCGCGCGCGCCGCCACCAGATTGGCGATTGCTCTCGTTGGACTCGCCGCAAAGTACCGTCGCGAACCGAGGCCGGGTGCCGAGTGGCCGAGCCAGTTGTGGATGGTCCGGCACCGGTCGAGCTCGCCGCGGACCAGGTGCCGCTGATCGTCAAACAGAATCGGGAGTGGGCCGAGATAAAACGGAAGCTCAGCCGGATTGACACGCGCATTGCGTGCCTTGCGCCGCCCGCCCTTTCGTCGCCTTGCCAGCCCCCTCGCCATCCGCTGCGCCTCGCGGACCACTATCATCGCCTTGTTCCCGTCCAGCGCAAACTGAGACAGATCGTCCGGCATCGGCGGCGTCCCTGCCCGATCGCCCCAATCTCCCCCATATCCACCACCGTCTGGACCATCTCCCGCACAAGTGCGGCTCGCCGAGCTTGCACTCGCCGTCGCCGCGCCGCCGCCGTCTGAGCCGGCCGCCGAGCTCGTGCTTGTGCTCGTGCTCGTGCTCGTGCTCGAGCTGCTCTCAACCCCGCTGCCGTCCCCACTCCCGCTGCCGGCGCCCGCAAGGACCGCAAACAGGTTTGACATGACCGTATGGGTGCTTCCCGCTGAGGGTCGAGTCTGTCGCAGCGAGCGGCGCCAGCGTCAGTGGCGTCGTCGTCGCAGCCAGCTCGTCGCCCGGCTCGTCGGTCTCATCGAAGCCAGGCGCAGTCTTTTGCCGAGCACGCGGGTTTTTTGCCCATTGCAGGGCAGCATATTCTTTGAACTGTAACTCGCTATCGGATGGCAGTCTGCATGCGACATGGGCATGGTTGGGTAGCTGGTGTTGTAGAGATTGTTGCGATGTGATTGATGTTCACTGCACGCCACAGAGCAAACACAACATGCAAACTGTGTGTTCCATGGAACACTATTTCCGTGATCAACCATTTTGACAAAGCCAGACAGCAGAGTCAGCGATCGCACCTCGAGAACCACCGTCACCTTTCCTTTTCTCTCTCTCTCCCTTCTACACACCACTACCATACTCTCTGCTGCTACTTCCATCCCCTCGACCCGAAATCCGCACTCTAATCACAGTTTAGCCGGAAATCGGAACTTGTACGGCCTCGCCCTCTTGCTCTCCCCTCCCCTCGTCCCAAGCAATCAACCATGTCCACGCCTCTCCCTGCGATCCGCCTCTCCCATGTGGTCATGGCTCGCATGGCCTCCTCGATCGTCAGACTCATCTCCTCGAGCAGACGTCGCAACCACACGACGACGGCTTGAACGCCGAATGACCGGCGACTTTGGCTCACACCCCACTCTCACAGACACCATGGTATGCGACCAGTCCCCAATGTCCCCGCCTCACCCCACCTTCACCCCTCCCCTCCCCCCCCGCCCCTCCCCTGCAATTGAACAGCAACTCATGGTAGACCACATGTGCCACAGGCTGACAAGAAGGCATCCAAGGCGTTCCCGCTCGCCACCGACGAGCTCCATGCCACCATCCTGGACATGGTCCAGCAGGCCGCCAACTACCGCCAGCTGAAGAAGGGCGCTAACGAGGGTACGTACCACGAGTGTCAGCCTCCGTTTCCTTTCCCATCCCCATCCCCTCCATGCTCTTCATCCACCTCCCTGTCCCCTTTCTTCCACATCCCCATCCCTCCCTCTTTCCTGGGCTCCTCCTCTCCTTGCCCCCGTTGTCCCTGGCTGCGGCAGAGGGACTCGCCGCCGTCTCCCCTTCCTCGCCCGCCAGCCTTCCCCGTCCGCCCGGCGTCTCCCTCTCCCTGCCCCCTGCACCCACCGAGTCCCCTTCCCCCTTCCCCTCCTCCCCCTCCCCCCTCCCCCCTCCCCCCCCCTCCCCCCACTGTACCCCCTCTCCTCCCTCCTCCTCCCTCCCCCCCCCCCCCGAGCGCACATACTTTTGGGATGGATTGTGATTTCCTTCCCACTTTCGGTTTGCCTCTCACTGGCACCACCGCCACCA